CGTGTCTACGGTTGTCGACCTTTCCATTATACGGCGCCCATCCAAGCCGCCGGCTCGCACAGAAGTGCCCGCTGGGATGTGCCCAGCGGTCAGCGCCACCGCGGCCGCGTCGGTCGCGACAAATTAGCTGGCCGCTGCGCGCGCGTGCTTGGGTTGGCGCGGCCGCAGAGATCGACCAGCCAACGCCAACTCATCGCAATGGCAATCGCCACCGCATGCGTTTTGCAAAGTTGTGGGTGGGTGGGTGGGATGATTGCAAAAGCATGGAATGTGTCAACCTGTTTGTTCACATCAAGTGCACCACATATATTGCACCACGTAGTTGCACATTGCAGATTGCACAGCGTAGATTGCACCACTTGGATTGCGCAACATAGGTGACACCGCGTGGTCTGCACCACTCATAGAGCATAACATAGCCTGCACCACATAGGCCGGATCACATATAGTGCACGCCATAGATTCTCTTGTCAGAACAATATTCGATGCGATCCCCTTCCCGCGGCAGGAGTTAACGGTCCCCTCGCGATATGTAATTAGCATATGATTCGGGCCCCGTGCCATTATGCACATGAGTTCGTACCACCCTAGCCCAGCCGGTAGCCGCACCTCCCGCCATCCTCTGCGAAACATTAGCTTGGCGAAGGACCCAACCATGTGCAATTGTGGTTGCCGGAGGTTGTAGGTATCGTCTTGAGCGGAGTCCCTTTACAGGGCCACGAAGCGCTGTGCTGGGCGGGGGAGACGCATGCGGATTGCACCAGTGGGACCCTCGCTCAAGCTGTCTATGGGGCCACGGAGCGCCGTACTGGGCTGGGGAGACGCATGCGGGCTGCGACACTGGAACCTTCGGTGGAGATCCCTATGGGACCGCGAAGCGTTGTATTCAGTGGGCGAGACGCATGCGGCTTGCGCCCATGGGACATTCGGTGGAGCTCCCTGCGGGGCCACGAAACGTTGTACTGGGTGGGGGAAGCGCACGCGGGCTGCGCAACTTGGACCGTCGGTGGAACTCCCTACGGGCCCACGAAACGTTGTACTGGGTGGGGGAGGCGCATGCGGGCTGCGCCCCTGGGACATTCGGTGGAACTCCCCATTGGGCCACGAAGCGTTGTACTGGGTGGGAGAGACGCATGCGGGTTGCGACACTGGGACCTTCGGTGGAGCTCCTTGAGCCCACGAAACGTTGTACTGGGTGGGGGAGACGCATGCGGGTTGCGACACTGGGAGCCTTCGGTGGAGCTTTACGGGGCCACGAAGCGTTGTGCTGGGTGTGGGAGACGCATGCGGGCTGCGCCAGTGGGACCTTCGGTGGAGCTCCCTCCCTATGGGGTTATGATGTGTTGTACTGGGTGTGGGGGACGCATGCGAGCTGCGTCACTGGAACCTTCGGTGGAGTTCCCTATGGGGTCACGAAACGCTGTGCTGGGTGTGGGAGAGGTGGCGATGATGATGATGATGATGATGATGATGATGATGATGATGATGATGATGATGATGATGATGACGATGAGGATGAGGATGAGGATGATGATGATGATGATGATGATGATGATGATGATGATGATGGTGGTGGTGGTGGTGGGGGTGGTGGTGGTGGTGATGGTGATGATGATGATGATGGGAGAAGGGAGGAGGGGGAGGACGAAAAGAGGAGAGGGGAGGAGAAGAGGAACGCGGGGCGCTGCCTCCTCAAAACGAGGACCCAACACCACAGGATGGTTGGGACAGACCATGCGCGCGCTCTCGTATATCCAAATGAGTCTTGTAACAGTTGGATGTTTGGGGATGTGGGTACGGGGTGGCCACCCTTCGAGCTGCGAGGGGCCCTTTCATCCGTTGTCTGCCTCTGACGAGGGCCTTTCGATGCCTGTACCGAAGACATGGGACCGACGCTACCATCGTCACAGAGAAGCTCGTCGTGTGCCGAACAAGTCGGATATGTGGACCTGCCTGCTGCCGGGAGGTCGGCTCACGCAGGCAAGGGTACGGTACGATCTCCGCCACCAAACCGACCAAGGCTGGAATGCGGTGGGAGCAGGAGCCGATGCCAGGCCTCAGCGCTGCTCAGAGGCGCGCCGCCGACGATGCATCGAGGACCTTGCTCGCCAACCCCGACGGCATAGGCAACAGCGCCGAGCTCGACAGGCACTGGAAGCAGCAGGGCGCCACGGCCAGGCTCCAGCGAGCCGTGCAGACTTTCGCGTTGCGGCCTGTTGGTATCATTGCCTTGGGCCGCTGGTCGGTTTGCTCGTGGTGGCGTACGGCTGGTACTGTGATCATGATATATTTCATGTACTATGTGGCCGAGCGGTCTGGAGTAATCGCTTGGTGTCGCGCGCTGCTGCAGGCTGGAAGCACCCCAGCTTGGGCGGTCAGCTCAGCCATGTATACGGTCAGCCAGCTGCACGAGCCAGTTCAGAGCTGGATCGACGATTTCAACGACTACACGGGCTACCAGGTCACGATGTGGGAGTTCCAGGTGGCCGTGATCTCATTCATGACGATCATCGTTCTGGTGTCTTACTTCTGGGGGAGGTGAAAGAAGGTCACGGAGGAGCCAGAGTCGCACATGGAGTCGGAACCCCCATCGCCTATTGCGAATGGTCGCATGACTTTCGTGGATCTCCGCCGCGAGGCGGACGTGCCTACCCACGAGCATTGGAAGGAGAAGATGGCCCGTGTTCTGAAGGTGCTAGTGGAGGGCCAGGCGAGGCTGCAGTTGACCGTCGAGGCAGTCGACGGTCGGGCCCGTCAGGGTCGTCTCCTGAGGACTGTGCAGGGCGCCGACGTCGAGAGCGGGTCGAGCCCGAAGTCAGTGGAGGTCTTCAGGCGTCACATCGACTACCCCGAGCAGTTGGTGAAGGACGACAAGGTTACCATCTCTCGGCAGGGGTCGCAATCGACTTCGGGGGCGTCCTGGGAGGTCGTGGCGTCGGAGGCCGCGGGTCGCGAGCTGGCCCTGACGGAACCGCCGGCGCCCGCGACGCCGCCGAGCGCCGCCTGGAAAACCCCGTCGCCCAGGGCGACCCCCAGGAGCGGGGGCGCGCTGCCTGCCGCGCCGCCGATGCCCCCGACGGCCCCGATGAGTCCGAGCCCGTCTGTATCGGCAGGCCGCGTCGCCAACGTGATCTCGCACCTCGAGCGTAGCTGAACATCAACCCTCAGTAGGCGTGAGTGGAGGCCTTGAAGGGTTGCCGCGAGATCGATCCGATCCAGCGGCGCATGCCCGACGGGCACCGCCGGCGAGCGACGCCAGAGCACCTGGCCGAGGTCTACAGCGCGCCGAGGACGGACATGGAGCGCGCGCAGCAGTTCCTGAGGGATCGGCAGCTCGAGCCCCGCGCCGCGGCCGAAGGCGCGGTCAACGCGCCGGCTTGCGAAGCCAGGTTGTTGCTGGAGGGCCGCGCCCCCAATCTGGTGAACTTCGTCAGCCTCGAGTACCTTGCGATGAAGGCGCGCGCGCGCGATCGAGACCGGTTTTGAGGCGGTGCGCTCGGAGGCCGATTGGAAGAGGCCACCGGGAATGAGGACTGGACGTCGAAGGTGGACTGGGGCATGGTCCGTCGCATCGACCCTGCCCTCGTCGCCGGCAGGGCCCGCAGGGGGTGCATGGGGGAGGCGCGCGCGGAAGTGCAGACGGGGGTGGCCAGGGGCGCCGACTTCGCGGAGCTGAAGCTGAAGGTCGGAGAGAGGTCGGCGCCCGTCGACCCGATCACCGGCTAAGTCGCGCGCCCTCCTGGGCTTCCGTGGGCGGGCCAGCGCCAGAGCTGGCCCCGCCCTCGCGGTCGCAGCCGAGCTCGACGCAGTTCGAGTGCGACCGAAGTTTTGCCTGGCTCATCGGCGCGCCTCGGAGGTGGCCAGCGGCGTGAGTTTCCCACGAGCAGCGCGTCGATCCCGAAGTGCATCGCGACCGCCGCGGCGGGCGCGCAGGTGGAGGTCGGCGACCCCCTGCAGGGCGTCGAAGCTGATCGAGCACCCCGCGACCGACTGGGGGATGTGGAACCAGAGCCCATATCGCCTTTTTCGATTACGAGAGATCGTTCGAGCCACCCGCTGCCTGGGGGCCCCGCGCTGCCCGGTGTCGGGCCGCGTCTCGGACGAGCTCTCGGATGCGAGGCCCTCGGTGAAGAATGGGTTCTCGCCGCGCCGCATCAATGAGAGGCCACCTGGCTGCTTGGGTGGTCGAGAGGATTCTGCAGGCTGCGCGTCGACGACCTTTCCGCGGATCGCCCGGTGGGGCGAGTCGCTCTCGCGCGGCTCACGGGAGGCGCCGTCAGCGAACGTTTGCTGGGAGCTGCTGATCTCGACCGTCGAGTTTCTGAGTTGCCTGGTCATTGGCGGGGGCTTTTATTCATTGGAACACCCGGAGGAACCTCGGCAGGACCCCCGCCCGAGCATCTGGACCCTGACGGCCACCACGGCGCCGGAGCACCTTGCCCTGGCGAGGGGCGCCGATTGTTTTGAGGTGGCCCAGAAGGATTTCTGGAGGAGGGCCCATGAGGCCAGGGGCCCCAACGCACGCGACCGCCACCTGATCGGGGCGCCCGGCGAGGCGCAGAAGGTCACGAGGGCCTCCTTCGACCGGCGCCGCGAGGGGTTCGACGCGAGGAAGCCGACGACCGTCGCGAGCAGCATGCGTCTGCGACCCTCGACCCCGAGGGCCGCAGGCGGAACCGCATCGGCGGCCGCCTGGCTCTGCAGGGCAGGCTTCCAGTCGGCAGGTCCTGGACTTCCCTGGCCCGAAACTACGCGGGCCCGTTCTCTGAGAAGATGGTGCAGCACCACCTCGCGGCGCTCGACCTGATCGCCCCTGGCGCGCGGAAGCCGCCGCAGTCCCTGAGCGACGAGGCGGCGCTGGGGATCTCGGGTTTCTCGACCGCGACCGACGACCTAGCGACGAAGGTTCGAGCGCCAGAGGTCGGGCCTGGCCGGGGCCCTCTGAGGAGATTGGGCGAGCTCCAACGCGCCCGGCGGGCGCGCGCGGAGCACCAGAACGTCCTCGAGCTGCGGGCCTTCGCGCCGCGCGCGCGGGCAGCGCTTCGGACAAGGTCTGCCTGGGGCCGCCGGCCATTCGCGATCGCGGATTCGATGGTGGCGATCGGGGCCGCCTCGAATGGCAGGAGCAAGTCGGAGGCCCTCAACGCCATCAGCCGTCGACTAGCCCCCCATGCGCTGGGCTGCGGGGCCGCCATTTACCCGCGGCGGGTGTCGAGTGGAAGGAAGTGCCGACGGGCCGAGCCGAGGTCGCGCCAACGGTCAGGCCCCGAAGGAGATCACCGAGCGCCTGCGACCCCCCGCCAAGCGCGGAGCTGTCGCGAACGGGTTTCGGGCCACGGCGCCGGACCACGCAGGTGATTTCAGCCGCCAGACGCCGTCAGCAGCTGGGCGCGATCACGATGGCTCGGGCTCCTGCTGATCCCCCCCTCAGGTGTCGCAGGTCGGGCGCGCGAGGCCAGCTACGAGACGAGCGACGCCCTCGCCTACGATGCCGACTGGTGCCATGTTGTGGTAGCGCTGCCTGGAGCACGTCGGGCACCGACTTCTACGACCACCACAAGAAGCACTTGCTTAGCGGGGAGTGCCCACCGAGGCGAAGGTTCAGCGACTGGGCGGACGCCGAGGGCGTCGACATTTCTCCGAGCCACCTGCTGGACAGGGCGATCTTCATCTACATGGACTGCCTGTGCTACGACGACGAGACCGGGTCGGCGAGGGCAAGAACCTGACCTCAGGCATGCTGGCAGTTTATCCAGGCGTACGCCTACCAGAGACCTACCGAGCGCTGAAGGCCCGGGGGGGGCCTCTGCCCGGGCGTGCAGGGGGCGCCCGTGGTGGCCCCCCTCGTGATGGAGATGATTGACGAGCTGTCCACTCATGGCGACGACGGCGCCACCGCCTCGGACGCCGCCCTCCTCGACTTCGACTTTACCTGAGGGGGCATGACTGGGAGCTGATGCGCGTGGGCGGCGTGGCGACGGCTGAGATCCGCCTCGGAGCCCAGGGGCGCAGGGGGCGGGCCAAGACGGGACAGGTGCAAGGCGTTCTAGTCGACTGCCCTGGCACGCAGCGGACGCTTACCAAGTCGATCGAGACCAGGAACGAAGACGAGCACGCGTTTCCCACCGGCCAGATCAAGCTCCACATTCTTTGGTACCAGGCCTGCGCAGAGCTTGGCGTTAGCGAGCTTGTTGGACGACCGCGTAACATCCGACGCACGGGACCATCCTATGATGCGTGGGCAGAAGTTCAGAAGTGAGGCCGATGGAGGGTTGAAGCCAGCGCCCAGAGGTATTCCAAGACACACAGGCGCACTAGAGGTTTATCGAGGGCCCCCGAAGGGTTTCAAACAAAAATAGGAGAGATAAAGCACGCTGACCTGGTTGAGCGGCCGAAGCGGCCGCGGTCTTGAACCAGGGCTTTCCTCCTTTCGGAGGCGGGCCCTCGCTTTTCCTTCTCCCCCCCCTTCTCTCCGCTTTCTTCTCCCGCCTCTCTTCCTCTTTTTCCTTTTCCCCACATGGTTTTCTCCCTCCCTCTTTTCCTCCTTTCCTTTCCTGCTGTTTTCCCCTTTTTCCCCCCCCATCCCCCCTCCTAAAGCCTCCTTCTCGATCCCCCTTCCTTCCCCTTTCCTCTTTTTTTTCTTTCCTTCTTTCTCCCTTTTTCTTTTCCATTTCCCCTTCCCCCACGCCCCCCTCCTTTCTTTTTTTCACCAAAATTTCCTCCTCCCTCCCCTTTTCTCGTTTTTTCTTTTCCCTTCTCCCCCCATCCTTTTTCTTCCCCCTTTTTCCTTTTCCCCTCCTTCGTCCCCCCACTTCTCGCCCCGGCCCGCCTCGAGAGCGCCCAGGGCTCCTTTGCAATGATCCGCAAGGGCTTCGCGCCATGCAGTGCCGCCTGCCCCCTTCCTCGGACAATGGGAGATATGCCAAGCTAAATCATGAGGTCCGGGCGCCGCCGCGAAGCAGTGTCGGGACTTGTTTGTTGTTCGACCCTGACCCCGCCGATCTGCGTGAGGGGTGCCATTGGATTTTCAGAAACGTGGCAAATCCCATGCGTTCTTTGACCCTGACCCCGCCGATCTGCATGAGGGGTTCCGCCGGATTTCACACATGTGGCAAATCCCATGTGCTTTTGGATCCTGACCTTGTCGATCCGCGCGAGGGGCGGCACCGAATTTCAGACATGTTTAGAATCCCTTTGGTTTTCGGACCCTGGCCCCGCCGATCCGCGCGAAGGGTGCCAAATGTAGCAAATCAGTCGTGTTTTGTTTGACCCTGGCCCCGCCGATCTGCGTGAGGGGCGCCACCGAATGTCAGAAATATGAAAATCTCATGTGTTTTTGGACCATGACCCCGCCGATCTGCGCGAGGGGTGCAAGCGAATTGTTGCTGGGTGCCACCGAATGTCAGAAATGTTGCAAAACACATGTGTTTTTGGACCCTGACCCCCTCCGATCTGCGCGAGGGGTGCCAGCAGATTTCGGAAATGTGGCAAATCCCATGCGTTTTTGGATCCTGGCCCCGCCGATCTGCGTGAGGGGTGCTACCGAATATCACACGCGTGGCACATCCCTTGCGCTTTTGGACCCTGACCCCGCCGATTTGCGTGAGGGGTGCGAATTCTTACCCATCCCAGCAAGTCAGAGCACGCGCTCACGGCGCGCTAAACTTGCCCGCCCCCCCCCCGCCCCCCCTCGCGCGGCCCGTCAACATGGGGCAGTAAGCAGCAAGAAGCAGACATGCCACAGTGGAAACTGGAAGCTGCAACTGGCACAGGAAACAGCGAACCTTCGGCCTACAGCCCGGTGGCCCCACAAGGGGGCCGGCGAATTTGTGGGAGCGTTCTGCGCGCGCCCGCCTCCGCGAGAGCCCGAGGAGAGCTGTTCAATTTGACTGTGGCAATAGCACAAGCGCTGCGAGGATTCTCCCTCGTTCCTATGCTGCCGAATCTCGCGCGGCAGGAGTCCCAGACAACAGGCGCCCCCACAAGCATCGGGCATCTTCCTGTATAGTGCCACATGATTGTTCTCATGCGTTCGCTAATTCGCGCGAGCTGCCGCTGCCCTCCGGCGACCCTGTCAGCTAACTCCTCTAGGAAATTCACGCGTTCGAGAATCCCTTGCAACATAACAATTTGCCGTGCGAGAGAAGTAACCACATAGAGTTGTGGGCGCCGCAATTGTGGATATCATATTCCGTGAAGGTTCCTCCGGGGCTACGAAACGCTTTGTTGGGTGGTGGAGATGCATGCGAATTTTGCCACTGGAGCTTGCGGTGGAGCTCCCCATGGGGCCGCGCAGCTCTGCGGTGGATGGGGGGGGCGCATGCGAACTGCGCCACTTGGATGTTCGGTGGAGCTCTCTATGGGGCCACGAAGCATTGCGCCGCGCTGGGCGTGGGAGACGCATGCGAACTGCGCCACTGGGACCTTCGGTGGAGTTCCCCTTGGAGCAGCTGGACAATTTGCTGGGCGGGGGAGACGCGTGCGAACTGCGCCACTGCGACCTTCGGTGGAGCTTCGGCCACGAAACGCCGTGCTGGGTGGGGGAGACGCATGCGAACTGCGCCTCTGGGACCTTCGGTGGAGCTCCCCATGGGGCCGCGAAGCTTTGCATTCGGTGGAGGGGACGCATGCGAACTGCGACGCTGGGGCCTTCGGTGGAGGTTCCTCTGGAGCCACGAAACGCTGTGCTGGGTGGGGGAGACGCATGCGAACTGCGCCACTGGGACCTTCGGTGGAGCTCCCCATGGGGCCCCGAAGCGCTGTACTGGGCGGGTGACACGCAGGGGAACTGCGCCACGGGGGCCTTCGGTGGAGCTCCCTCTGGGGCCACGAAACGCTGTGCTTGGTGGGGGAGACGCATGCGAACTGCGCCACTGCGACCTTCGGTGGAGCTCCCCATGGGGCCGCGAAACCTTGTACTCGGTAAAGGGAACGCGTGCGGACTGCGACGCTGGGGCCTTCGGTGGAGGTTCCTCTGGAGCCACGCAACGTTATACTGGGCGGGGGGAACGCATGCGATCCGGGGCCCCGACGCGCTGCACTGGGTGGGGGAGACGCAGGAGAATTGCGCCACTGGGACCTTCGGTGGAGCTCTTTCTGGGGCCACGAAACGTTGTGCTGGGTGGGGGAGGAGACGCATGCCAGCTGCGCCACTGCACCCTCTGTGGAGGTCCTTCTGGGGCCACGAAGCGTTGTACTGGGTGGGGGGGACGAATGCAAACTGGGCCACTGCGGGGCCTTCGGCGGAGCTCCTATGGGGCCACGAAATAATGCGCTGGGCGGGGGAGACGCATAAGAACTGCGCCACTGGTGCCTCCGGTGGAGCCCCCTAATGGGGCCACGAAGCTCTGCGCTGGGCGGGGGGGGCACGTGCGAACTGCGCCACTGGGGCCTTCGGTGGAGCCCTCTGGGGCCACGAAGCGCTGCGCTGGGTGGGGGGGCGCATGCGAACTGCGCCACTGGGGCGGTGGAGCTCCCTATGGGGCCGCGAAACAATGTATGGGGCGGGGGAGACGCATGCGAATTGCGCCACTGGGACCTTCGGTGCTCTGGAGCCACGAAAGGCTACAATGACCACGGTGAGCGCACGCGAACTGCGCCATTGGGACTTCTGGTGGAGGCCCCTCTGGCGCCAAGAAACGCAGTATTGGGCGGGGGAGACGCAGGGGAACTGCGCCACTGGGGCCTTCGGTGGAGCTCCCTGTGGGGCCACGAAACGCTGTGCTTGGCGGGGGAGATGCATGCGAACTGCGCCACTGCGACCTTCGGTGGAGCTCCCTATGGGGCCACGACACGCTGTGTTGGGTGGGGGAGACGCATGCGAAATGCGCCACTGCGACCTTCGGAGGAGATCCCTCTGGGGCCCCGAAGCGCCGTATTGAGTGCGGGGGACGCATGCGCACTGCGCCACTGGGACCTTCGGTGGAGCCCTTTATGGGGCCACGAAGTGTTGTACTGGGTGGGGGAAACGCATGCGAACTGCGCCACTGCACCCTCGGTGGAGCTTCCTATGGGGCCACGAAAAGCAGCGATCATACTAACTAGGACGTGTTTTTTCTCCGACCTGGCGGAGGGGTTCCCGGTGTGTGTTCCCTTGGGGGGTCTGAGGGGGGCCCCCCGGGACATGGCCCCGGCCACGGGCGGAACGCTGGCGGAAGACGGCCGCTCGCGGCCCCATTTCGCCAGACGCGCTTCTGGGTGGCTCGGACGGCCCCAAGATGCTCCGCAAGATGGCTCAAAAGGGCCACGAGCCGCCGAGAGATCGGCCCAAGACGCCCAAGATGGCGTCCAGACGGCCCAGGGAGCCCCAAAGATGCCCCGAGAGGCCTCCAAGAGGCCCCCGAAGAGAGCCCCACGCGTCAAAAATCAGAGCTTTTCCGTTGGTTTTTGTAGGTTTTCTGGGTTTTCGCCTTTTCGGCTTCCCGCCGCTCCAAGACAGCCCAAGAGATCCCAAAGATCGCCCCAAAACGGCCTCAGAGACCCCCGAGAGAGCGCCCAGACGGCCCAAGAGGCCTTCAAGACGACCCAAGAGGCCTCCAAGACGGCCTCAGAAAGGCCTCATGCACGCCCCAAGAGGGCCCCCAGAGCGGAGGCAGCGGCCGATTTGATGGGGTTTCATTGCCAAGTAACCATTCAAGAGGCCCCAAGAGATCCCCGAGAAGCCCCCAAGAGGCCCCAAGAACCCTGGAGAGGCCTCCAGCAAGCCCCCAGAAGCGCCCAAGACAGCCCTAGGACTGCCCTAAGAGAGCCCCAGGACGGCTGGAGGCGCCTCGGCACAGCGTCACAGCGTCAAACGGACAACACAGGAACCAACGTAATGCGCTCAATAGGCATCCTCTTCTTTGCTGTTCTCTTTCTCGCAAGTCGCGCCCAGTTGCCCTCCAAGGTCGGGGTTCGTGACAATATCAGGTTTTCTAACTGGGTCTCGTGTTGATGATGATGATGATGATGATGATGATGATGATGATGATGATGATGATGATGATGATGATGATGATGATGATGATGATGATGATGATGATGATGGCGGTGGTGTTGATGGCAATCATCATCCTCGTCACCATCATTATCATCATCATCATCATCATCATCATCAGCACATTGGTATCATCCGCATGTCACTATCATCGTCACCAGCACCAGCACCATCACCATCATCGCTATCACGATCACCATCACGAACACCATCACCATCATCGCTATCACCATCACCATCACCATCACCACCATCCTCATCGCCATCAGATTTTCAATTATACACTGCATCCCCGGCCCCGTAAGGTGTGCGACTAAAGCTTCCAGCTCGCACACCCGCGACTGCAGGCGGGCGTGCTCCGCCTCCAACCATTCCACGCGCCCCACAAGAGCGCTCGCTGCTGTCCCTGGCTGGCCCTGGCGCGCGTCGTCAGGCACTGGCTGCCCCTGGCTGGCCAGGCCCTCCAACCCCCACTGGGAGGACACGCTGTCAGCGCGCCGAGGGCGGGCGCCCGCTGCGAACTGGGGGCGCTGCCGGGGGGGCGGCGCGCTTGGCGCTTGCGGGCGTTGCCTCAGCCATCGGGGCGTTTGCTCGGGGCCCGCGTCCATCGTGGCTGGCCCGTTTGCTGGGCCCCTGGCGCTCGCGGTCGCGCCGCGCGCTTGCGGCGGCCCGTCTGCGTGCCACTCAAGAACTTGTTGGGCGCGCCAAACAGTAAAGTGCGGTAGGAGGGGAACATTTGGGCGCGAACGACGTCTAGGCGCGGTTGGCCAGCGCGCCGCGCCCGTTGATGGTCGCCCCATCAGGGGCTTGCGGAATGCGTCGTCCAGCGCGTCCTCGAACTTCCTCTCGTCCGCGTGCGTTCCCACATGCCGGATGCACACCACGACAAGAACGTCGCGGTACTTCCTGGCAACCGCCGTCTTCTCAGCCTTCAGGTCTGGTCGGGCCGTCAGCGTGTGCTCGTAAGCTGCCGCCAACTCGATGTGCTTCGGGATCAGAGGGCTGCCGCTGGCTGGCCTCTCCAGGATGCGCCGCGCGGCGCGCTTCATGGGGTCGAAGAAGGCGACCGTGGAAATAGTTTTGGAACTCTCGGGAAGTTTCGAGGCCGTCCAACGCGAGCATTGCTTCTTCCAGCACCCGCTGCTCCGCCTCGGCCCAGTCGCCAGTCAAGCAAGCTTGAACAATGACGGGTTTCCTTGCCCTGCGGTCGTTGATGTTAGGGACCCTCGGGCGTTGCCAGGGTTGCCGCGCGCCGGCTGCCACTGGCAGGCCGGGCGCGCTGGGCCCATTACGAGCTCGCCATGACAGGCTTGCCGCCGCAGCAAAACACTTGTTTCAAGTTTGTGCCAAAACGGCCCATGATGACAATGATGGGCGGTGATGGGCGATGGGGATGCTAAATGTGATGGCGGTGATTGTGCTCATGGTGATGGCGATGGCGATGAGGATGGCGGCGATTGCGATGATCGCGCGCCGGGGCCATGCAGGGGCCCTTGGGCCCCGTCTTCGTCACGCCATCCAATCCTCATCCCATCGTCGTGCCCGATCGTCATTCCAATGTTCATCTTCATCATCATCATCATCATCATCATCATCATCATCATCATCATCATCATCATCATCATCATCATCATCATCATCATCATCATTCGCCTCTCATCCCCTCTTATCAGTCTCCCCTCTCCTTCTATATTCCTTTCTCCTCCTCCTTCACCTCCATCCCATCCTCTTCCTCGCCCTCGTCCCCCTCCCCTCCTTTTTCGTCGCTCGTGTTCAAATTTCGGTTCGAATCCTCGGCGGCGCTGGGGGGGGCCCGCGACGAGACAATCGTAGCTAGTAGCAACGCCACTGTGCTGACGGTGCGCAGCAGCGCCCCGCGCGGGCCAGCTGGCGCCGCGACAGATAGCGAACCCCGCGCAGTAGGCACGGCGAGCAGCAGCGGCCAGCCCGCGGCAGCCACGGCCGTCCTCGCGGGAAAAACAATTGCGCGTCAGGTACTGGACCCGGTGTTTCCTGAGCCGGAGAGTGCGCGCACGGGCCCTGACAGCCAGCCAGTGGCAGCTGCGCGATGCGACAACGCGTCAGAGGCAAACACTGTCGTCACCCAGCTCATCGAGCCAACCGCTTGCCACGGGCGCCCGCAGGCGCGGCACGATGGGAATGAGAAGCGCAATGCGCCAGCCAGCGGCAGCAGCAGCGCGCGCAGTTCGGACGTGGAGGAAGGCTGCCCGGAATTGGAGCCCTTGCCATGAACACCACAGGTCGGAGTTTGCACCCTCGGGGGCGCCACGCCCCCGCCTGCATATCTTAGCGGCGCCATGGCCGACCATGGCAAGGTTGCACAAAAAATCGTTCCTTGATGTCAGAGACAGCGTCGTGGCGCGTCTGGGGCCTAATTTTTTCCGTTCGGTTTCCTCGGCTGGCGCGCGGCTGGCCGCTCGGCGGCCGGGCGGCTTTGGTCGGGCGGACGGGAGCGGCCAGCTTGCGCGGAAACGGGGCCCGCTAAGGTATGAAGCAGATCCCCGAGCCTTGCTTTCCTGGCCGCCGAGTGGGCTGCAAAAGCCGGGCAGGGCAAGACCTCAATGCGATAGCTAGGGCTTTGTATCCATTGGAGAACACTGCCAAATGCCAAAAAGGACCAGCTGGTCTCTTGGGTCTGCAGGAGGCCCAGTGCGAGTGCGCATGCGGGCGCAACGGGCTGTGCTTGGAATGGGTTGCAGAAGGCACAGCAGAGCGCTGCGCGGTGAAACCGACGGCAGTTTTGGGAAGAGGGCGCACGGCGACCCGAGGGGGATGGACCCGCTCGCGTACGCATCGACGTACATCCACTTATGGCAAATTTGTACGCCCCATGCGGAAACACTGCCAGACGCCGACGTCGTCCTTCCCGCCAACCCGATGGAGCTGGTCCGTGAAGAGAGACAGACCCAAGCGGCGGCTTTCCGGGCAGCCAGCGGTGCCCATTTGCCATCAAACCCACGCATGATCCAAAAAGGCGATCGGCGGTTCCTCATCGGGCCGTCGGAAGGCTGCCCCGCGCGTCGTTTGCCCCCCAGCAGGAAATAATTTATGCATGGTGGCTGCACTTCGGTTCCATGCAGGAGCAGGGGTTCCAACAGCCCGCAGGGGAGCTATAGCGCGTTGGAGCGGGCATGGAAGGAATGCTTCGAAAAAAGGTTTTGACATGTTCCCAGCATGCGCTCCCGTGCGCAATGCGCGCTCCCAACTGAAGGCGGAGATGGCTCAGGCAGCGCCGCACGCGGACAAATTAGTCGAGTCCAAAGCGCTTTGCGACCACCTTGAGCGGCAGTGGTGGGACAGAACGGTGTACTGGAGACTGAAAGCAGTCGCTGCGCAGGAAGACTAAAAGCGGCCATGCGTCATTATTGACGGCGCTGACCAGGCGAAATTCAAAGTTTTTCCCAACCATCCTGTGGTGTTGGGTCCTCGTTTTGAAGAGACGGTGCCCGCGTCCTCTCCTCTCCTCCTCTTCCCTCCTCCCTCCTCCCCCTCCTTGCCACTGCGGTCTCCCCCACCTCTCAGCGTTTCGTAGCCCCATAGGGAGCTCCACCGAAGGCCCCAGTGGGGGTGTCCACATGCGGTTCCCCCACCCAGGGCAGCGTTTCGTAGCCCCATAGGGAGCTCTCCCGAAGGCCCCAGTGGGGGTGTCCACATGCGGTTCCCCCACCCAGGGCAGCGTTTCGTAGCCCCATAGGGAGCTCCACCGAAGGCCCCAGTGGGGGTGTCCACATGCGGTTCCCCCACCCAGGGCAGCGTTTCGTGGCCCCATAGGGAGCTCCACCGAAGGCCCCAGTGGGGGTGTCCACATGCGGTTCCCCCACCCAGGGCAGCGTTTCGTAGCCCCATAGGGAGCTCCACCGAAGGCCCCAGTGGGGGTGTCCACATGCGGTTCCCCCACCCAGGGCAGCGTTTCGTGGCCCCATAGGGAGCTCCACCGAAGGCCCCAGTGGGGGTGTCCACATGCGGTTCCCCCACCCAGGGCAGCGTTTCGTAGCCCCATAGGGAGCTCCACCGAAGGCCCCAGTGGGGGTGTCCACATGCGGTTCCCCCACCCAGGGCAGCGTTTCGTAGCCCCATAGGGAGCTCCACCGAAGGCCCCAGTGGGGGTGTCCACATGCGGTTCCCCCACCCAGGGCAGCGTTTCGTGGCCCCATAGGGAGCTCCACCGAAGGCCCCAGTGGGGTGTCCACATGCGGTTCCCCCACCCAGGGCAGCGTTTCGTAGCCCCATAGGGAACTCCACCGAAGGCCCCAGTGGGGGTGTCCACATGCGGTTCCCCCACCCAGCGCAGCGTTTCGTGGCCCCATAGGGAGCTCCACCGAAGGCCCCAGTGGGGGTGTCCGCATGCAGTTCCCCCACCCAGGGCAGCGTTTCGTAGCCCCAGAGGGAGCTCCACCGAAGGCCCCAGTGGGGGTGTCCACATGCGGTTCCCCCACCCAGGGCAGCGTTTCGTAGCCCCATAGGGAGCTCCACCGAAGGCCCCAGTGGGGGTGTCCACATGCGGTTCCCCCACCCAGGGCAGCGTTTCGTGGCCCCATAGGGAGCTCCACCGAAGGCCCCAGTGGGGGTGTCCGCATGCGGTTCCCCCACCCAGGGCAGCGTTTCGTGGCCCCATAGGGAGCTCCACCGAAGGCCCCAGTGGGGGTGTCCACATGCGGTTCCCCCACCCAGGGCAGCGTTTCGTGGCCCCATAGGGAGCTCCACCGAAGGCCCCAGTGGGGGTGTCCACATGCGGTTCCCCCACCCAGGGCAGCGTTTCGTGGCCCCATAGGGAGCTCCACCGAAGGCCCCAGTGGGGGTGTCCACATGCGGTTCCCCCACCCAGGGCAGCGTTTCGTAGCCCCAGAGGGAGCTCCACCGAAGGCCCCAGTGGGGGTGTCCACATGCGGTTCCCCCACCCAGGGCAGCGTTTCGTAGCCCCAGAGGGAGCTCCACCGAAGGCCCCAGTGGGGGTGTCCACATGCGGTTCCCCCACCCAGGGCAGCGTTTCGTAGCCCCATAGGGAGCTCCACCGAAGGCCCCAGTGGGGGTGCCCGCATGCGGTTCCCCCACCCAGGGCAGCGTTTCGTGGCCCCACAGGGAGCTCCACCGAAGGCCCCAGTGGGGGTGCCTGCATGCGGTTCCCCCACCCAGGGCAGCGTTTCGTAGCCCCATAGGGAGCTCCACCGAAGGCCCCAGTGGGGGTGTTCGCATGCGTCTCCACTACCCAGAGGTAGCGCCGCCGAAAACGATATTCACACTTGCGGTATTCACAGTTGCATATGGTTGGGTCCTTCGCCAGGCTAATTTCCCCACCAACCTGTGTTGTTCGGTCCTCGTTTTGAAGAGACGGTCCCCGCGTTCCTCCTTCCTCCTTCCTCCTTCCTCCTTCCTCCTCCTCTCCTTCCTCCTCCCACCTCCCCCTCCCTTCTGGCACACCCCTCGCACGCTTCGTGGCCCCACAGGGAGCTCCACCGAAGGCCCCAGTGGCTGCGCCCGCATGCTGTTCCACCCCCCATTCTGGCACACCCCTCGCACGTTTCGTGGCACGTTTCGTGGCCCTATAGGGAGCTCCACCGAAGGCCCTAGTGGCTGCGCCCGCATGCGGTTCCACCCCCCATTCTGGCACACCCCTCACACGCTTCGTGGCCCCATAGGGAGCTCCACCGAAGGCCCCAGTGGCTGCGCCCGCATGCGGTTCCACCCCCCATTCTGGCACACCCCTCACACGTTTCGTGGCCCCATAGGGAGCTCCACCGAAGGCCCCAGTGGCTGCGCCCGCATGCGGTTCCACCCCCCATTCTGGCACACCCCTCACACGTGGCCCCATAGGGAGCTCCACCAGGCCCCAGTTGCGCCCGCATGCGGTTCCACCCCCATTCTGGCACACCCCTCACACGTTTCGTGGAGGGAGCTCCACCGAAGGCCCCAGTGGCTGCGCCCGCATGCGGTTCCACCCCCCATTCTGGCACACCCCTCACACGTTTCGTGGCCCCATAGGGAGCTCCACCGAAGGCCCCAGTGGCTGCGCCCGCATGCGGTTCCACCCCCCATTCTGGCACACCCCTCACACGTTTCGTGGCCCCATAGGGAGCTCCACCGAAGGCCCCAGTGGCTGCGCCCGCATGCGGTTCCACCCCCCATTCTGGCACACCCCTCACACGTTTCGTGGCCCCATAGGGAGCTCCACCGAAGGCCCCAGTGGCTGCGCCCGCATGCGGTTCCACCCCCCATTCTGGCACACCCCTCACACGTTTCGTGGCCCCATAGGGAGCTCCACCGAAGGCCCCAGTGGCTGCGCCCGCATGCGGTTCCACCCCCCATTCTGGCACACCCCTCACACGTTTCGTGGCCCCATAGGGAGCTCCACCGAAGGCCCCAGTGGCTGCGCCCGCATGCGGTTCCACCCCCCATTCTGGCACACCCCTCACACGTTTCGTGGCCCCATAGGGAGCTCCACCGAAGGCCCCAGTGGCTGCGCCCGCATGCGGTTCCACCCCCCATTCTGGCACACCCCTCACACGTTTCGTGGCCCCATAGGGAGCTCCACCGAAGGCCCCAGTGGCTGCGCCCGCATGCGGTTCCACCCCCCATTCTGGCACACCCCTCACACGTTTCGTGGCCCCATAGGGAGCTCCACCGAAGGCCCCAGTGGCTGCGCCCGCATGCGGTTCCACCCCCCATTCTGGCACACCCCTCACACGTTTCGTGGCCCCATAGGGAGCTCCACCGAAGGCCCCAGTGGCTGCGCCCGCATGCGGTTCCACCCCCCATTCTGGCACACCCCTCACACGTTTCGTGGCCCCATAGGGAGCTCCACCGAAGGCCCCAGTGGCTGCGCCCGCATGCGGTTCCACCCCCCATTCTGGCACACCCCTCACACGTTTCGTGGCCCCATAGGGAGCTCCACCGAAGGCCCCAGTGGCTGCGCCCGCATGCGGTTCCACCCCCCATTCTGGCACACCCCTCACACGTTTCGTGGCCCCATAGGGAGCTCCACCGAAGGCCCCAGTGGCTGCGCCCGCATGCGGTTCCACCCCCCATTCTGGCACACCCCTCACACGCTTCGTGGCTCCATAGGGAGCTCCACCGAGCGCCCCAGCGGCTGCGCTCGCACGCGGCTCCACCCCCCCCCCATTTCGGCACGCCCCTCACTCGTTTCGTGGCCCGGGGGCGCCACCGAAGAATATACCCACAATTGCGGTATTCACAACTACGTATGATTGGGTCTTTCGTGAGGCTAATTAATCGACGGAGACGCCCAAATCCCTTGACGGCGCGGAACGACGAAAAATGAAGGTCGAGGATTGCCGGGCGCATGGGCGGGAGTTGCTTTTTAATTTCGTCGAGGAGGACATGCCGCGCAATTGCGACCTCACAAGCGAAGCGCTCATGCGCGCGCTGAACCGCTGCCTCTCGGATTGGCAGGGCGGGGCAGCCAGCGGCGCCCCGCCCCCATGCCACTTGCGGCTGCAATTCGAAAACTGCAGCGGGGAAAACAAAAATGAGCAGCAGTGAGCCCAACCAGCAACTCATCGACTACCGTTTTCGACAAGGGGAAATGGTTTTTTTTTTTTTTTTTTTTTTTAAAAAAAGTTCCGCGCGTTGTTGCTTTGTTCTCGCTCCCAGTGGCGCATTGGACACCGACTTTGCTCTTGCGGGCGGTCCGCTGGGAAGGGGAACTGCTTCGCCTGGCACTTCGCTTCCGGAGGCGGCCCGAGCAGGGAAGGATGGAGTTGTTGCAAGGAGCCGCAACCAGAATGGAAAAGTGGATGGCAAGTTTAGGGTGCAAGCCTATTCATCACGCTCTGCTGGGCGCGAACGGGTTCACGGTCAGCTGGTTTCGGCCATGCGCCAGGAACGAAGCGCCCTCGCGTGGGAAGCGATGAAGGACGTGCCTTCCAGGAAACGGCTGAGAGAGGGGGGTTGCGTTCAAGCGCGAGCTGGGCCGGCCGCTGCGCATGAAGGCCCGTTTCGGGCAGCATGGGGCGACGTTTGGAGGGCGACGCTGACGGCGTACGCTGATGCCACAACATGGAAGACACATCGAGGCAGTTTCGTTCAAAAGGTGTGCGACGCTTGGAAGCTGCCGCACGTGCCGGCGACCTCCCGAGGCGACGTTCGAGAGCATCTGGCAGCAGCGGCAGCAGGGAATTACGGAATGCAGGACATAGAACCTTTACCATATCCGCCGCGGCTTCAGAGAGATCAGCTTCGGCTGAAAGGGGGCGCTGTGCCACAGCTCGAGTTTGTGGTCGACTCGTTGACCATAGCCAATGTTGTAAATATGGAAGCTTGTTGCGATAATACAGTGCACAAGCCGGCCTTTGACCGCATTCTCACGAGATTGGCGGACTGCTACAATGAGACATTCCAGAACAAAGCTGCCTTTCTGCCGACGCACGAGTGGAGGCCGCGCGAGTGGAACGTCACCGCAGACCGACTGTGCAATATAGGTCTGGACGTGCGGGCTGGGTTCCGGCGCGATTTTGTCGCTGACATCGGCGCTGATCTCCTGCGAGGCCACTCGCTCCAGGTGCATTCGGATGGTGGGCTCAGAGGTACCATGGGAGCCGCTGCCTTTGCAATTTTGTTGGTTGACACTAACACAGACAACAGCTTGCGATTGGCAGTGGTTGATGCAGTGTGCTTACACAACCAAGAGTCAGCGTTTGCTCTAGAAGTGATCGCTGCAGACAGAACCGTGTCGGAAATCTGGGAACTATTCCGCCGGAGGCGGCATTTGTCCCGGAAGAGGAAGTGGGAACCAGAGCAGTAGGAGCGCAAGTATATCATATGTTTCGCAACTCGATCAGGGGCGCGCGAGAAGAAAAAACAAAAATGCCCACGTGGCCAAATTTGCCCCAATACTTGTCGACCGAAGCGTTTGCCGGCCAGGTGCGGCGTCGCATTTGCAGGTTGGCCACGCGCATGAGGACGTCGACTTCGTGTTTTCCGCGATGTCCACGGCCATCCGCAAGATGGAAATTGGAACTACCCGCGCCAGATGGCGGAGAGGGCCCAAACGGCCACGGGCGCGCACGTCGCCCGCGCGACGGAAATACATAAAGAAGAAGAAGACATTTATATATATATATATATATAACAACAAACATTGTTTAAACAAATACTAATATTATATATATATATATAAATATTTATAAAAAAAAACAAACAAAACAAAAAAAACAACAAAAAAAATGCTACCTGGGATGATCGACGCCGTGCGCGATTGGAAGCAGTGGTTGGGGCCGCTTGATAGGATCGGCCCGCGCACTGGGCTGGCTAGCATAACGTCTGCGCACTGGGCGCGCAACATGAGGCGGACAGACATCCCAATATCAGCGATCAGGGGCGATGCTCTGCCAGCCAGTGGCAGCGGACCGAACGACGTCATGCTCCTATGCAATGAGTACATGAGCGACGATCGTTGCTCCCAGCCCCCCGCGCTCATGCCCCAGGCCCGGGGCTGCTGCCGCGCTTCGCCCGCAGACTGGCCCCCTGATGTGGGAATGCAGGACAGATGTTCAGAGGTCGAAGCCGGGGCCGCGAAGGTCAGGAAGTGGGCCACTGACGGCGCGAGCGATTGGGTGCCACGAGCGGCGAATAGATGGGCCACAGAGGACAGCGAGGGGGCCGCGCTGGGCTGCGGGGGGGAGGCGCATGGGGCTACACTGGGGCCACGAAGGGCTCCAATGGTGCCATTGAAGGCTCGAGCGACTGGGGGCCAGGAAGGGCGTATATATGGGCCACAAAGGGCAACGAGCGGGCCACATTGCACAGCGGGGGGGGCGCGCGGAGCTACAACGGGGCCGCGATGGGCAGCAATGTGGCCACTGAGGGCACGAGCGACTGGGGGCCACGAAGGCCGCACATATGGGCCACAAAGGGCCAACTCCGGGGCCACGAAAGCCAGCAGCAGGGCCACTGAGGGCACGAGCGATTGGCGGCCACGAAGGGCGAATATATGGGCCACAGAGGACAGCGAGGGGGCCACTGAAGGCAGCGGGGGGAGGCATACGGGGCTCAACTGGGGCCGCGAAGGGCTGCACTGGGGCCACTGAGGGCACTAGCGACGGGGGGTCACGAAGGGGCGTATATATGGGCCGCGACGGGCCTGCGCCGGGGCCGCGAAGGTTAGCAATTGGGCCACTAATGGCACGAGCGATTGGGGGCCACGAGCGGCGAATAGATGGGCCACAAAGGGCAGCGAGGGGGCCGCATTGGGCAGCGGGGGGGAGGCGCGCGGGGCTACGCTGGGGCCACGAAGGGCTGCAATGGCGCCATTGAGGGCACGAGCGATTGGGGGCCACGCAGGGCGTATATATATATATATATATATATGTGCCACAAGGGGCAACGAGTGGGCCACAAAGGGCAGCGACGGGGGCCGCTGAGGGCAGCAGCGGGGCCACGAAGGGCTGCATTGGGGCCGCTGGGGGCACGGGCGATTGGGGGCCACGAAGGACGCGTGTGTGTGTGTGTGAATATAGGTATATATATATATATATATACATATATATATATATATATATATATGTGTGTATATATCTATACATACATATACATATATATACACGCACATACATATGGGCCACACATGGCAGCGAGGTGCCACTGAGTGCAGCATCGGGGGCACGAAGGGCCGCGCTGGGACCGCCGAGTGCACGAGCGACTGGGGACCACGAAGGGCGCGTGTGTATGTATGTCTATATATATATATATACACACATGGGCCACACATGGCAGCGAGGGGGGCACTGAGGGCAGCATCGGGGCCACGAGTGGCAGCGACTGGGCCGCAAGGGGAGGGACCGCGAAGGGCAGCAATGAAGTGCAAAGGGCGCGAGCGAGCATGGGGGCGAAGGACGTGGCCTTGACGGGCGGGCCGAGCGGGCGGATCGATCGTGAGTTCTGCGCGATTCGCAGGGAAGTTTCCAGGGGGAGAGCGATTCCTAAGTAAATTTGAAGCCCCCAGCGAACGCGCGATTCCTGAACGTCAAGAGCGCGGCGCTTGAGTAGATTGCAAGGAAATCTCTGGCGGGGGTGCGATTGATGAGTAAATTGCGAGGAAGTCTCAAGCGGGGGCGGGGGACCAGAGTAAGTTTCGAGGCAGCATGAAGCGGCAGCCGTTGTTGTTGTAAACCGGGGGCCAGGGGCACAGTTTGAAGAGGAAGACTTCCCCTAATGAAAAACAGGGTGCCAGCGCCAGGAGAGGCACTTCAATTGAATTACCCCAGTGCGACCCTACCTAGGAGTTGGAGCATCTAGGAAAGCAACATCTATATCTACACCGACAGCTACATCAACATGTACACCTGCATCTACATCTACACCAACGTCAACAGCGAGACTCACATCTACACCTACATCTACATCTACATCTACACCTACATCTACATCTACACCTACATCTACATCTACATCTCCATATACACTTTCGCATTGGTTTTGCTTTTGCTTTGCATTGCCTTGCCTTTGCTTTGGCTTTTGATTTTGCTGTTGCTTTTGCTTTGATGTTGTTTTTGCTTTTGCTTGATTGTGTTGTTGCTTTGCCTGCGCACAGACACACGCGCACGCAGGCATGTTTTCGCATTCGGTCAGCGGGTGTGTTTGAGAATGCTCCGTGCCCGGTCTACTACCGCACGACTTGGCCATCTTGGGCGCCTCTCGGGCCGTCTTGGGACGTTTTTGGGACGTTTTTGGAGGCCTCTTGGGAGCCTCTTGGGCCGTCTTGAGGCGGTCTGGGGGGCGTCCTGGACCGTCGTCAAGGCTGTGAAAACCGAAGAGCCGTGCATGGCGAAAATATATGTTTCCTCTAGGGAATCAATGATTTTGGTCTCCTGGTGGCCTCTTGGGGCGCCTCTTGGGAGCCTCTTGGGGCTTCTTGGGGAGCTCTTGGGGCCTCCTGGGAGCGTCTCGGGGCGAAAAGCTAGATTTTTCGGTTCATCCCGGGGCGGTTTTGGAGGCTGCGAGCTGCGAGCTGAGAGGCGCGACCCGCGAGTTGCGAGGCGCTTGCCGCTCGCTCGCTCACGGCGCCGGCGCTTGCGCGGCCCCTCGCTCTCGTCGTCGCCGATGTCCTCCCTCTCCGTCGCGTTCCTAAGCAACGCTAAGATAAGGGGGTGCGACTGGGGGAACCGCGGGGCGGACGCCGGGGGAACCGCCCGGGGCGGGTAGCACTGCCCGGCCCTTTTAAGCTCTAAGTTAAGAACCCTTCTAGGCAGAGCCTAGGTAGGGAAAAAGACAATGTGCACCAGAGGGGGGGATCAACAATATTCATTTTTCAGTAGTGAGAGTTCAACAGCAACAATCATTTTAAGATTGTTCGCTCCTATCTGCTCACGTGCCAATCAAAACGTATATCCTAACCCTCGGTGCCCGCCCTCGTCGTCTTCGGTCGTACCCCCTTGGGAATATATCTTCCTGATCTGCCGCGCGCATTTAATGCAGCCCCTAGAACAAGGGAAGAGGGGGCGAGTGGAAGGGGGAGGGAGCGCGAGAGAGATTAGCAGGAGGGGGGCAAGGAGCAGAAAAAAAATGGTAGAACCAAAAGGGCAGATAGGGTGGGCAGACCAATAGCGGGCAGGTCGGGAAGGCGGGCCCAGTCGACCAGGTCGAGCAGGCGGGTTGAGGCTCGAGCGATAGCGCGATTTCCAAGTAAATCGTGAGAAAAGCCAAAGCGAGAGCGTGATTCCTGAGCGCCCAGGGCGCATCGTCTGAATAAATTGCGAGGAAGTCCTACGCGACAGTACGATTCGTATACAAATTGTGAGGAAGTCCCGCGCGAGAGCGCGATTGGGGAATAAATTATGCGGAAGTATCGAGCGGGAGCCATCGTTGTTGTAAACCAGGGGCCGGGGGCACAATTCGAGCCTAGTGATTTTCCCTGATAAAAAGACCGGGTGCGAGCCCCAGGGGAAGCACTTCAGTTGAAACAATACAATGGTCACCGGAGGGGGGATCAACAACATGAATTCTTTAGTACTGCGAGTTCATCAACAACAACAACAATCATTGTAAGACTGTTCGCCCTTATCTGCTCGAGTGTCGAATAACGCGAATTACCCAAGCCTTCGATACCCGCCCTTTTCGTCTTCGATCGAACCCCTTTGGGGGGTATACCTTTCTTCCCTGCAGGCTGGGCCCCGGCAAGCGGCGGGGCGGCCGCGGACCGTCGGCCTGGCCAGCGGCAGCGCTGATCGGCGGGGCGGCCGCGGACCGTCGACCCGACCCCAAGAGGGACGGACAGGGGACCGACCACGACGACAACGACGACGACGACGACGTCGACGACGACGGCAACGACGGCGACGGCGACGACGACGACGAGCGAAAACGAGAGCGAGAGAGAACGACAGCAGAGCCACGAAGGACACGAAGTAGGCCACGAAGGGCGACAGCGGGGACACGAAGGGAATGCGTATGGGGCCACAAAGAGCGCGAACGAGCGTGGGCCACGAAGGGCAGATAATGCGGGGCCACAGAAGGCAACGATGGGGCCACTGAGGGTAGCACCTGGGCCACGTAGGACGATGAGGGGGCCACAAACGGCGACAGCGGGGCCACGAAGGGCATGCACACGGGGCCACAACGGGCGCGAACGAGCGGGGGCCACGAAGGGCATACGTATGTTGGACCGCGGAGAGTACGGACGGGGCCACTGGGGGCAGCAACGGGGCCACGAAGGGCAGCGAGGGGGCCACGAGGGGCGACAGCGGGGCCACGAAGGGCATGCATATGGGGCCACCACGGGCGCGAAAGAGCGGGGGCCACGAAGGGCATACATATTTTGGGCCACGAAACAAAGCGAGGAGGCCACGAAGGGCTGCAACGGGGCCACGAAGGGCAGCGAGGAGGCCACGAAGGGCTGCAACGGGGCCACGAAGGGCTGCAACGGGGCCACGAAGGGCAGCGAGGGGGCCACGGAGGGCTGCAACGGGGCCACGAAACAAAGCGAGGGGGCCACGAAGGGCTGCAACGGGGCCACGAAGGGCAACGAGGAGGCCACGAGGGGCCGCAACGGGGCCACGACACAAAGCGAGGGGGCCACGAACGGCTGCAACGGGGCCGCGGAACAAAGCGAGGGGGCCACGAAGGGCTGCAACGGGGCCACGAAGGGCAGCGAGGTCCCGAGTCCTTAGTAATGTGTGAAGGAGTCCTAAGCGTGAGCGCGACTCCTGGGTGCCTGGGTGTCGGGAGCGCGGCGCTGGAGTAAATTGCAAGAAATTCCAACGCAAGGGCGCTGTTCTTCAGTAGATTGCAAGCGAGTCTCCAGCGAGAGCGCGACTCCAGAGCGCAGGACGAGCGATTCCTGAATGATTCGTAAGGAAGTCCCAAACGAGAGCGCGATTCTTGAATAAAATGCGAGGAAGTCTCGGGCGGAAGCGGGGGTCCTTGCTAAATTGTAAGGAAGTCTCAGGCGGGAGCCGTTGTTGTTGTAACCCGGGGGCCAGGGGGCCAGTTTGGACAGGAAGACTTTCCTTGACAAAAAACAAGGTGCGAGCCCCGGGGGGGGCACTTCAATTGAAAAAATCAATGTGCACCGGTGGGGGGATCAACAATAATGTTTTTTTAAGAATGGGAGGTCAACAACGACAACGACAACAACAACAGCAACAGCAACAGCAACAACAGCATCAAGAGTCCGCATCGCGGAATCCCCTTTTCAGCCACGCATCCAGGGACAGTGAATGACACTTCGGCCCATATATTCATCCAGCGGTCGAGTGACGTCACTACAGAGCTAAAGACGGGGCGCGCTTAGCGTCAATTCCACCTGACATCGCAGATGGGTGGACTACGCAGCGCGAGTTGTATGCAGAAAAAATCGGGGGCGCTAGGCGAGCACGTGTGGAATAAACAGGCGTGCACCGTGCAAGCAGAAGCCCAGCAAACCGGAAGAAAGAGGGAACGCACATTCACACACAGACACACATTCATGCGTCGAGCATAGGTCGGAGGGGCGATCCACGCATGGACCACCGACCAGCGTCCAGAGTCTGCTGCAGCGTCATGTTGGCAATGTTTTGGAGAGTGACGGATAGCCTAGGCTATCTTGGACGAGAATTTTATTAATCGTCGTCACCATCATCGTCGCCGTAATTATAATGGTGTTTCATTTCGCCTGCGGAGGATCTGGGAGAGCTCCAAGTGGCGGACGACGGGACGAAGGAACCTGCTTGCCTCTTGGAGGTTGCGGGCAGCGACCTGGTCGGCGTCCCACTCGCGGCACCCCTGGCCAAGGGCTCAGAGAGGAGAGGAGAGGAGTGGAGGCAAGTGGAGGGGAGGAGAGATCGTCGACGTCGAACGCTGGATTGACTCTTTGCCGTTCTCGTGTAGCAGCAGGGTGCTCGAAAAGTAGTCAGGGCGCTCGGCATATCTCGCCATGACCGCCTAGTCGTAAAGAAAGAAGCGCTTGCATACAATGCAATTGGGTTGAGTTTTGCCGACGACCTAAAAGTACGGAAGGCTCGAATGCCCGACCAGGCGTGCACCAACCAATGCAGGGGACGGGAAGGGCTGGGGGGGAGTGGGCGAAATCCAGAGCGAAGGGCGAGAACGTGACCAGCAGCCTAAGCGACAAATGGCTACGCTGGTGCAGGCTGATACCAATGGTTTAAATGGAGGAATGCTCGACGATCCGACTGGATATGCTCCAACCCATTCAGGGAAGTGGGGAGAAGGGAGCAGGGCGAAGTCCACAGCGAAGAGCTTTGACACAATTCGCACACGTGTAGACGCTGCGAAGGCATAACAAAGAACCTAAGCGGCAAAAGGCTACACAAGTGCAGGCTCACTCCACTGCGAGAGCGTGCCGCTGAAGGACACGAGCAGTTCACGAAAAGGAGTGAAGTACCCGAAACAGGGGCAGGAACAGGAGGGAGTAATAAGGAAGGGGAATAGAGGGAGCACTAACCTGGCGTCCTCCGTTCAGAACGTGCCGTCGCTCACAAAGTGCTCCCATCTGGAGCGGGGATCTCGTAGTGGCACAGCGGCGCCCATTCTTGGAAAAACAGTTTATAATGATGCGTTCATTGCGTGCACGGCGTTCAACTGCATCGTCACGTTGACGAACGTGACGCCGAAGGACCGACAGGGACCAGAGCCTGGAAAATTTTAGTCACGAAGGGCACGAACATAGAGACACTCCCGTACTTTAGCCCGACCTCGCTACTGCGGGCGAGTTTGGTGGTGTTCATTGCGCTGGACAAGTCCGGGCGTTCCCAGGAGCTAACGTGTGGTTGCACGCCAGAGTCGCATGCGAAGAAGGCCAGCATGACAAGCGTGCCGATGGCCAGCGCGACGGTCAACAACTTGAGGGTCGTAAAGCCATCGCAAAAGAAGCCAATGCTTTTTCAACCAGGGGGTCCGTCGCCGCAGATGCTCTGCCCACCGCTTACCGTGTCCGTGACGAACGAGACCCCGAGGCCTTCCTCAAGCCCGACCACTTGCAAGCAGACGAAGGCAGTCGCCTTCAGCGGAACGACAGTACCCGTTCGGCACATCGGCGCACTCGACATCGAAGAACATGGACGGTGACACGGACGCCTGCCGCACACCGCGGGGCGCGTGGCCACCCGCGCGGGCGGACTCCAGCACGCCGGGGCGGCGCGCCTATGGTATAGGCCCGAGCCGTAAGGCCGAATCTTACCGAGAAGGGGGGCCTGGATGGCTGCGACTACTGCTCGGGCCTGGGAGCGGGAGGGCAGCTGGAGCCGAGCTCCTTGGACGGGGGACGGAAACTGGGTTTAAGCTGGAAAGGGCTTTGCAGGACCAGTGGGGGAGGAGTTTTTGAAGGTTGGAGATGGCACGTTGCAGGGGTGCTGCGGGTGGAGGGGGAAGGGAGGAAAGCACAGGCGACGCTGCGGGTGGAAGGGTGGCGTGAAGAGGAGGGCGGCGAAAAGACGGCGCGAAAGAGCGAAGACGCGCCACCGAGGCAAGATACGGTTTTGCTTTCGTTTCCTTGCGGTCGGCCTCGCTCGCGCCGCACTTTCAGGATAGCCCCCATGAGGGGCAGCGGATTGTGGCTTCTCCTCTGCTTGGTTGCCGAAAGCATCATGGCAAAGAACCCAACCATGTGTAGTTGTGAGTATTGTGGTTGTGAGTATCGTCTTCGGTGGAGCTCCCTGTGGGGCCACAAAGAGTGTGAGATGTGCCGCGCGGCGGTGCATGCGGGTTCTGGCAGTGGGGCCGAAGCTGGAGCTCCCGAGGGGGGACCTTAATTGGAGTTCCCGATGGGGCCACACAACGTGTGAGCGGTGTGCCGAGATGAGGCGGTACCGCCATGCGGACCCTGGCATTTGGGCTTTATCTTGAGCTCCCCTAGGGGCCACGAAGCGTGTGAGGGGTGTGCCGACATGGGGCGGCGCCGCCCTGCGGACCTTGGCAGTTCGGCCTTGGTTGGAGCTCCTTATGGGCCACACAGCACAACATGTGAGGGGTGTGCCGTAATGAGGCGGCGCCGCCATGCCGCCGTGCGGGCCTTGGCCTTAGCTGGAGCTCCCTATTGGGGACACGAAGAGTGTGAGGAGTGTGCCGGAATGAGGCAGTGCCGCCATGCGGACCCTGGCATTTGGGCCTTAGCTGGAGCTTCTTATGGGGCGAGGAAGCGCGTGAGAGGTGTGACAACATAGGGCGACGCCACCATGCAGACCCTGGCATTTGGGCCTTAGTTGGCGCTCCCTAGAGGGCCACGAAACGAAGGACGGGTGTGCCGAAATTGGGCGGCGCCGCCATGCAAACCCTGCCATAGTTCGCTATGGGGCCACGGAGCGTGTGAAGGGTGTGCCGAAAAAGATGCATGTCAAGGGCAGAGGCAGGAATGGGAGGGGGGAGGTGGGGGAGTAAATGCACTCTTTCCGCACCACCATCCTGCTGCCCGTCCTGCTCTCTAGCCTTGCTTGCACTGTCTGCTTCTCTTATTCCCCACATCCAAAGTAGGGTTCTTGTTTTCTCTGCACACGCCGCGCAGGATCTCACACCCCCTTCACCTCTCTCTCTCACACACACACTCACCATCATCACCATCATCATCGCCATCAACCACCATCATCGTCATCACACGCACACGCTCATCATCATTACCATCATCATCGCCATCAACCACCATCACCGTCATCACTACTCACCATCATAATCCTTCATCATTACTCTTCATCATAATCCTCATCATCATCATCATCATCATCATCATCATCATCATCATCATCATCGTCACCATCATCACCACTCGATCACCCTCTCACTCACTCAATTACTCATTCATCCTCAGTAGGCTTCGGATGCAGTGGTCCTCCGACGGTAGGAGCGCCGCCACTCTCAACATCATCGCCACCATCTCCATCATAATCTCTCGACCACCCACTCAGTGGCCATCATGATCATCATCAGCATCATCATCAATTATTCATCACACACACATCCTCATCATCCTCATCATCATCATCATCATCATCATCAGCAGCATCATCATTCACTCACCCATCATTCCGTCATCACTCACTCCTTGGCTTGAATATGGAGGTAGTATCAGGCGGGAACCTCGTCTGTGAGTGAATTGTGAGGAAGTCTCAGGCGGGAGCCCTTTCCTATGGTGCCGGCACCTCACGTTTTAAATCCGAGGCGGGTCATTCGAAACGTGTAACCGTCGTCACTTTTGGGCCCCTGTGGCGAGAATCTGGAGGAAATATCAAGCGGGAACCTCGTCTGTGAGTGAATTGCGACGAAGTCTCAGGCGGGAAGCCTCTCCCTATGGGGCCCGCACCTCATCTTTTTAATCCGAGGCGGGTCATCCGAAACGTGTAACTGTCGTCACTTTTGGGTGGCGTGAATCTGAAGAAATATCAAGCGGGAACCTCGTTTGCGAGTGAATTGCGACGAAATCTCAGGCGGGAGGCCTCTCCCTATGGGGCCCGCACCTCACCTTTTTAATCCGAGGCGGGTCATCCGAAACGTGTAACTGTCGTCACTTTTGGCCTCCGGAGGGCTTGAATAAGGAGGATGTATCAGGCGGGAGCCTCGTCTGTGCGTGACTCGCGAGGAAGTCACTGGCGGGAGCCCGCCTGTCTGTCCCCGCGGGAGTCCCCGCGCTGAGCCAGCTCGAAGCATGCGAGCTGGAGCTGAGGCGCAGGAGGAGGAGGAGGAGGGGGAAGAGGAGGAGGAGGAGGAGGAGGAGGAGGAGGAGGAGGACGAGGAACAGGAATTGAGGAGGGCGACGGCGGCCAACCCTTGCGTCCGGGCCAGGGGTGGTACCAATCCTCGGCCGAAGCGGCGGCCGGCGCAGGGGGACCCTTGCGTCCGGGCCGGGGGTGGTAACCCATCCTCGGCCGAATCGGGGGCAGGGGTAACCCCTTGTCTCCGGGCCGCCGGTGGTGACCCATCGGCGGCCGAATCGGGCGCAGGGGGGGAACCCTTGCGTCCGGGCCCGGGGTGGTAACCCATCTTCGGCCGAATCGGGGGCAGGGGTAACCCCTTGTCTCCCGGCTGGCGGTGGTAACCCATCGTCAGCCGAATCGGGCGCAGGGGGGGAACCCTTGCGTCCGGGCCCGGGGTGGTAACCCATCATCGGCCGAATCGGGGGCAGGGGTAACCCCGTGTCTCCGGGCTGGCGGTGGTAACCCATCGTCAGCCGAATCGGGCGCAGGGGGGGAACCCTTGCGTCCGGGCCGGGGGTAGTGACCCATCCTCGGCCGATCGAGGGCAGGGGTAACCCCTTGTCTCCGGGCTGGCGGTGGTAACCCATCGTCAGCCGAATCGGGCGCAGGGGGGAACCCTTGCGTCCGGGCTGGCGGTGGTAACCCACCGTCAGCCGCCCACAAAAAACGCCGTGCGTGTTAGTGGGTAAGGGGCCACTAACGCCATGTGCATGCGGAGCATGCTGATCCTGCGGCCGCCCGCGCGAGAGTTCCTGGAACGCGGGCCACCGGCGTCACTGCGGAAGGCGCTCCAAGGGTTCGACAAGAGAGCGGTGGACTCCAGGGCTGAGGCGGAGCAGCTCGCGGCAGAGCTGGGCTTCGTGCTGCCACCCGCCTGAGCGCCGCGGCGCGCACCTGGAGGCCCGCGGGGTTGTCCCAACGGCTGGCTCCCGCGCCCCTGCGGCCTGCGAGGTTGTCCCAACGGCCTGGCCCGAAGGGTTGTCCCGACGGCTTCGCGATCTAGCCGTCGGCAAACGCGCGCGCGCGCTGGCCGACGCGGCGACGGCGCCGAGGAAAATCGAGTTGCTTGCCACGACCAGGGGG